TAACCATCAGTGCCTACAGTTACCTACGTGCATGAAATAAAAAGCCGATGGTTCGACTTCAATGGACCTTGGTATGAAGGACCTAGCAAGTAAAAAGCGACCCATACGTATATCACTAGCGACTTTGGCGTAGTGTCGAGATATTTAAGAAAATTTCGGTTCAATCAAAGGCGGTAAGTCATTTATGTCTGCAATTATATCGGCTTAATATTTATTTACAAGTCGTTTTGTGAATTCCACGTAAATTTCTTACATTAATTATTTTTAAGGTGTAATAATTTTGGCCGTGATTTACCAACGATGTGGAGAGTAATCGTGACATCATCAGGACATCATAAATATTTTAGAAACAATTGAATTGGCTCGGAAGAGAATGTTCTTGAGATATTCAATAAATTAACTTATCCAGGAACCAAGTATCTTCAAGGCGACTAAGGTAATGTCCTTATAAGAGCAATGGAAATTGCTGATTGATGCCGAAATGAATTTACAAACGCACCGATTTCGTGTCATTACTTGACAACAATTGGCTGTATTTATTTTGTTTTTGACCGATTTCAAAAAAGGAGGATTCGAATCGGATGTAATTTTCTTTGTATGTACATTCACCAATTTTGAACCTGTTATAATGGTTTTTTATGAATAAGAACACGTCAGTCTTGTAGGCATTAAGCATATTAATTCACAGATTATATATTATTGCTTCATTTAAATATATTTTCCATTATGTATATTATACACATAACAGCAATCTTTCACATGGCAGCAGAGTATCCTCTAGGAGCTAAGAAAACTTTTTTTTTCATATACTGTTATATTATTATTATCAGTATTAAATGTTTTGGTTATTTTTATTGTTATTACCTTAATAACTGTATATACATAATATAATAGTTTCTTAATAACAGTTATTATTTAATAATATTTACTTATAAGATATAAAACGGAGGATATAAGAACTAAGACTAATCTACAATATCACAACAAGTACTTATATATCTATACGATGAAATCAGTCTGGAAAAGAATGTTTTTTTTTTATGCGCGAAAATTATATTTGATAACTAATCCTTCTAAAAAATGCGATAGGTAAAACCAATAACCAATAAGTCAAGTGTAACATATATGACTAGCGACTCAGCCTCGCTTCGCTCGGGTTTGTCCCTAGGTGATCCTTTGTGTTGACATAACTTTTTTATTTATGAACCGATTGAAATAAAACAAATAGTAAATGTTAAGTGAAGCTTACACCACAGTACATTAGTGAAAAGTAGTTTCTGAGATAAGCGGGCACAAATGTACAAACAAACAGATAAAAATTCTAAAAATCATTGATTTGGGTTATATTGCGTTAATAAAATCCCCCAAGAACAGTTTTTCTCAAACATTTTCTATGTACAGGCACCGATGAGTTACAATTTTATTATATGTATAGATTATGTGAAAATTTTACTCGACGCAACTAGGACGAGTCATTATTAGTAATAGATAATTTAAAGTGTACCATCTTGAAAATCTAGCTAATTTGTAGCCTGAATCTATATTCTATATTGAATAATATTAGCATTGACTTAAAGTACATAACTAACTGTAAATTAAACTGGTTCATTTCAAAATCTTAAAAAACGGTGTGAATACATAAATTAATATTAGTCCACTTGGCGTAAAATTTCGAAAAATATTAATTTTTAAAAAGTGCCGTTAGTTTCTAACAGCCTTATCGCGTGCAGAACAACCCATTATAGGTTGTCCATACGTTGCACAAATATGTATGGCTTGCACAAGGCAGTAAATACGGTAGCCGTCAAGTGTCCCCGCTAACTTAAATACATGGATCGGCGCAAATTAAAAGGAACGAATTAAAATTCTGATTTATCGCCGATATTATCATACAATGGATACACTGAATTTATATGTCTTTATTGAATGATCATAAAAAGTACCTACAGGAAAATTTATTGAGCGTGCTTTTTTAGTTCTCCGCTAATTCGAGTCTCGTGAGTGACTTTTATATTTACAAAGTCATAAGTTCTTTAATTGGATTAACGCTATTTGTTTTAAGTATGATCAGAAGAAAAATTATGATTATAAAGACTGGTTTTCAAATTTCCATCCAAAAACTTATCATACTGACTGAATTAAAAAAGTAAAATATAAAAACCTGTTATTTTTGATATGCTAAGGGTTGTATCTTATCGCAAGAATTATTTTTATCTGATGATTTAAAATCAACCCGCTCTCTTTTTTTTCGTCTTCCTATTAATCCCCTTGCTTTGTCTCAGCCTAAACTAAGATATAGATGGAAACCGCACAGTATTCTATAATTAATAGCTTAGCTTCATGTTTAGTTCTATGACACTCTGTCTACACAATTCCTTAGTCTGATGATTCGCTTACAACTAATTCTGATCTATATAATTTTCAAACGACATTAATTCTAAATTAATAACATTATACCAGTTTATATTGTTGGAAGTTTTTAAAATACATTTTTTTTATTTTTGCATGTCAAAATTAACATATTTTTTATCATTCTTATTTATATGTCGAAGTTAAAGAATTGCTGGCATTGCTATTCCGAGTAGACTCAACGGCGTCAGAACATTTTTTATTCAGCAAATGGTATAAGGTTTCAACTTAATTTATGTTTTTAGACATTGATCACAATCATTGTATTTTATTGAATCACTATATTATTAATGTGTATTCTATTAATAAGGTTAATCACACGGAGGATTTGGATTTTGTTGGACCAACAGATAATAATCGTTGAAGTCATAATATTGATCATTTGTATAAATATATGTAAATCAAGCCAAGCATTGTGATTTATTTACTAAATACACTATATTTTAAGCATTTTCTTATGAAATAAGTTTTTTTTGGGTCGTATAAATAAAAATTATGCAACAATTTTTTTTTTGTTAATGAACTATAATTTCATAACAACTAAAAATAAATTTAATGATAATGGCGTTTAAAGATGTTTATTGCATTTTTAATAAAGTAATCAGGGAGATATCAAGTTTTATTAACTTCGGACGCAGAAACAGTATATATTTGTCATTTATTATTTTAGAGTTTACGATTATGTACGAAATTGTCAAACAGGTTTACAATCGAACCAGTTCTAATCGTTTGTTTTATCTAAAAACGTATAATATGTAAATTCGTCATTCCTTTTTGGTGGCATAATTCTTTTCTAATGTTAAGTAAATTTGTATGAATCATAATAGGTTTTATTACATTTATACACATTAACAGAGACAAAAGGTGACATTCTTGACCCGAGTCGCGACTTGAATATAAAAAAATAATGATTTTGATCTAATAAACCAGATCTTGGTAAGCTATTTTTTTTAATTAACTGTTGCTCTTATAATTTTGAAGTGTAGCTTTTTTAGAGTCAAAGCTTTCTTCGATAAAAATTTACTTTCCAAGTCTACGTCAAGATAATAGTTACTATTAGTGAAGTCCAAATACTTTTCTAGGAATAAATCGTATCTGATTTTTCTAATTTAATCTAATGAATAAATCGAGTTGAAAAATTCATTAATATAAAATAGATAAAATTTTGAATTCCTCACGCCTACATCTAGTGAGCTTAAATTACAATACTTATACCACAGTGTTATTTCTCTTCAAATCTGACTTATTTGAAGTATTTACCAACAGATGGCGCTATGTATTGAACTTTATAGTAAGTTCTTATGTAAAATAATCACACCATATAAACTTTTTCATACGTTACTAAGTAGATGGCACTGCTACGATAAATTACATCAAGGCACAGATCATATACTCGTAATACTATACTAGTATTTAAGCCTTGTACAGAATAGCATGAATCGATATCGAAAATGTTCTACTTTCGTTGAAAAGTGTCACTACATTGTGAGAATTGAGGCAAATTGTGAATATAAGAACCAACATGTATGCGTTTCCATGTACCTACAATCTACATATACGAGACTAGTTAGTTTGTTTATATTTTGTTAACCGACTTCCAAAAAGGAGGAGGTTCTCAATTCGTCGGAATCTTTTTTTTATGTATCTTCACCGATTTCTCGAATACGTGAACTGCCTGAACAATTTGGAATTTTTTTTTGTTTCGAAGGGTTATTATACTTTCCAGGTGGTCAGCCGATGCAAAGCAAATCTAATATATTTCGATACCTAAAATACATCACAAATTTATGTATAATATTTTAACTATTATAATTAGAGTCCATACCTAATCATATTTACCTATTAGATATTCATATCTTAAAATATTGTCGGCTGGCACCGACTTCGAAAATATCTTATTAGGTATCTATTCTAAATGGAAACCCCCGTTTAGTTATTTTTTACATTTTAGGGCCTGGAAGTCGTTTTTTTTTTAGTTTTTATTTAATTTATATATTTATTACTTAAATATTAACTGAACAACACATTCAAAAGCAACCTGTTGATTGATTGAGACTTTAAGAGTATCCCAAAACAAAATACCTATTTAACTTTAGTAAAAATTACACAATACCATATTAGTAGGTACCTTCAGTCTTTAGTAACGTACATACCATACATAAATATATAATATACTGATGTATCAAGATGTAATATATGAAATTGCTAATCGTGCATTCGGTACGTGCATGATACAATGTTACATGAAAATATATTGACAAACGTGATTCAGTCAAATATAATAGTCACCGATGCCTGAAATGGTAAAGTAATAAAGGAAATTTCCTGAAACCTTCTTTTTTTAATTTTAACCCCAGATATTTAAAAAAGGTGTGGCAGGTGGAAGTTTACGTTGGAAACATTTTTTGACTATTAAACTAAAAAACCTAGGTAAGGTAGAGGAGGCCATTCGTAGAAATTGTATATCAGCATTTTTCATAAAAAAATATTGTGCATGTATACATTAACATATTCGGATAAATTATTCAATTAAAATAAAACTAGTTATTAAAAAATAAATTTAATTCTTAAATAATTTAAAGAGGTCTTTAAACACATTCGATATAAACTGGATAGCAATTCTCCTTTTCATCGGCAACCGCGCGAGCAATAGGCGCATGAGTATTTCTCAACTTGATTATAGTATTGTTATTGAGAGTTACATCAGAAAAAGTATCAATAACAACATTGTTATGTGGATGTGTTACTTTTAGTGATGAAAGCTGTTTCGCATGTCCCGATATAAAACCGAGCTCTCGACAAATCGATTCTAATTCAGATTTAGTGTGATTTTTGGTGGGATAGCATTTTGAATACCATACGCCATGAGAACGTATGATCACTTCACCGTTGCCGTGCCTGAAATGTTGATTTTTTTTAGTATATACAATAATAAAAAATAATAAGCAGATTTAATAATAATAATTATAGGTAATCATATTAAGAATAGTAAGTGTAAATGAATTATTCTTATTAAATATCTATCATTAACACTAAATCCATCAAAGGAAATATTTGAATTTGATATGATTACTTTGAAATTCATGGCAAAAACGATAGCGGCCTCAAGATTTTTTTTCTGTATTGATATTTCAGTACATAGCATATTATCCTGAAAATTGAAATACAGTATAATTTTATGAATTATACTCGTAGGACAATAATATTTTGACAGAAATTTCGAAATTCGATTAGCAAGTTTTCGAAAGATATTTGTAGTCCGCCAACCCGCAATTGGCCATCGTGATGCCCGTGGACTTTGTCCTAATCCTTGTAGTAAAGGGGGCCCGCGCCCAGGAATAAGACGTTGAAAAAGAGTTGAATACATACATATACACATAAATAACAATTTTTCTAATCTTTTCTTTATATTTTTCTCTATATAGAGATACTTACGGAGTCCCTTGTGGAGCACTTAAGCCTATACAAGCGTTTTCATCCTCTCCACCCGGACAGTCTGGAACACCATCGCAGACCATATCCATCGCTACACAGTAGTCTTCGTTACTTGACATCCCTGAACATCTGAAAAATATTTCTATGTTATTTCTACATAATTTAGAATTCTGATATCTATTATTCTTACGTTATGTAAATAATGTAAATAAATTAATGAAATATTTAAACGGTATTTCGCAGTTGGTTATTTATTATTTCTTTGTTTTTTGCCAACCGAGCTTTAATTAAACATTAGCACTGAGACATGGGCGAATTAGAGACTGGACCTGACATAAAATACAAATGTATGAAAACTAGTTCAACCAAGTGACGCATAACGCACACAAAGATTTTATTACATTATTATAAACACTGATACACAATACAATATTTGTAGTGTTTGAACGTAATCGATAAAATACATATATCGATGAACCAATGAATGACATTTTAGACATTGGTTAGCATAGTCATCATATTTTACATCTTTTAATTTAAAATATCTGTATTTATTATAATAAATTAAAATAAATGAATTAAAGAGGCAATAATAATGTGTCAAATAATAATAATTTTTTAATTTGATTTATATAAATACGATGGCATTGATGGCAACATTCTGTTGGCCTATAATAATGTTAATAAACAAATGAATATCGGGTGTATATTCCATTAATATATAATAAATATTATTTTGTAAAGATTAAAAAAATATTAAGCTAATTTTTATTAAATAAAGTGATTTTGTTGATTCTGTTATTGAACTATTTTAATTGGCAATTGATTGTCTCGGGTAGTTATAAAAATGTGACACTGTCCCAATATTGCTCAGTTATTAATAAACATTTGTAAAATTAGGAAAAAGAAATAGTGATTGCAAATTGTGAAAAAGTGAGTGTTGGATCGTGAAAGTAAAATAATTAGTGCAAGTGGTAAAGTGTTTTATTACAAATCGCCAACCTAGAAGTTTAGTGCTAAAACATTATTGTTTGATTTTGTGTAATTTATGTGTTGAAATAAAATGATCTTTATTATTATTACAATGGAATAATATTCCAAAGTATATAAATGTGGTATAAAATAAAATATAAAATGAAGTACACATACTAATTATAATTTTTGCATTTATATTTTTATTTGATTTAGAAAATATTTTTATAAATTTATTGTCATCAGATTGTAGGATGTGATAAAAGTATTTTATGTTATTGTACTGTACAAATAACACAATTCGTTCAGTTATTTCGTCAAATATCGATGATTATGATGGTTGTCAGATGTCAACAATACATAGAAATATCGACTATATTTAACATATTTGGATAATATGACATTTTATTTTACATTTAATTAAATTTTGTGATAAATAACAATAAATGTAATAAAATAACAAGTGAAAAGAAATAGTGCTGCTTCCGCCGTTATAGTTTTTACACCATTTAACAGAACATTTAGTCATTTTTGGGAGATGTTTTGTTGACAAGTAAGTGCTTGAGACTGACACAAAAAACAAACGACCTAGGCTAAAATTCCCTCGTTACTGACATGACCGTTAAAGGTACGTCCGCTTATATGTCTGGTCCAGTGGTTAATTCGTTCATGCACTGAGAGTTAAGAAAATGAATATCTCACAAAAAGTACATACGATCATAATTCCGATAAAAATTAATCTACGAATAAATCAATCTCCAAACTATGAAATGGTTTAAAATGTTTATTAAAAAATATTAAAAAATTTGAAGCTCAGTTACAGCGTAAAAAGACAAACGTATTCTATTTTGTATTTATAATACTACGCCTGCCTGACATCAACCCTCCTTGGAAATGCTATTGTTTATCGCGGAAAGGACCCAAGATGCGATGACCAGCACATCTAATTTAGACTTAGGCATACGAGTATAAAATTATCTAATACCAGTAATTTAATATTCAGAACCATGAGTTGAAAACTAAATTTGACACCATGAGTTGAAAATAATATTAAATTATATTTCATGTGAACACGTAACGGAGATATAAGGAATTCTATTATCGTCTATCACACTGTAATTGTGTACTACTCATTCAAACATTTTCACAAACGTTTATATTTATAATATTAATAGAAGTCAGAGATTGTTGAATTGATTTTTTATCGGACTACATAATAATTATTGTTTATGTTTGTATGTGTGTTATGTTTTACTTGACTTTTTCACGCAGAAAAGGCTGGACGTATTTCGATGAAATCTTGTGTACAGATTCACTACGACCTGGATATATACAAGGCTAGGTTAGTTACTTGTAGGCGCACCTGAGCAAAGTAAGGGTAAGTAGCTAGTATTATTATGTGTGTCTGAATGTGTACATTTAAAAAAAAAACTTACTTATAAGCCTCCTTTGCAAAACATTTACAGAACATTGGGTCTTCATCACTCTTATCATGGCAGTGTAAGATTCCATCACATAACCTCGAAGGCATCACTCGTCTCAAGTAATCGGAGCACATCGTTTGCTTCGGCTCGTCCGTTCCATCCCCACAATCGTCGTTTCCATCTTTGAATAACTCTTTTGGTATACATAAACCGTTGTGACACTTTAATTGACCAACCAGACAATCTGTTTCAATGTAATAAAAAATATAATAAATTAGTTAACATATTTGTAAAAAAAAACATAATTCTAGATATGTATTCAAAATTTTGTATTGTTATTTATATTCAGAAATTCAGATATTTCCAATACGAGAAAAATGCCACAGTTAAAAATAGTTGCCAAAAGAACTCAACTATACATACATAGGTCAAATATATTATTTGCGGAAACAGCTCCGTACTTTAAAATAAAATATTACCAGTCACTGAGAAAGACTAAGTATAAACCACGATGATGACAGAAGCCAATGAAATATTATCTATTAAAATTGATTGTGTTAATATGAAAGCAATTAGAGTCAGGCATAGAGAAGCAGGTATGCATTATAATCATTAGCAAAAATAAACGTTACCTACATATAAAACTAAAATATAGTCTTAGAATAAATATAAAATGAACACAAAAAGCTTACCACAGCCACGGTGATGTGGATCTCGGCTACAGATATTATATTTCTTTTCACAGGATTCCTTGCTTTCATCAATACCATCCTCACAATCAGTGACCCCGTCACAAACGGATCGTAACTTTATACACGAACCCCTCTGACATCGGACCCCATCGCAACTATCAGAAAAGTTTTCCTGAGTGAAATCTGATAACGGTTTTTCTGAAAATTAGTTTAACTAAAATTTTATTATCATAATATGTTTTTTATTAAAAAATCCTTTTATAAAATTGTGTTATAAAAACAATTTTATAAAAGGATTTTAAAATTGTGTTATAAAATTTATTATTTTGTTTACTGTTTTTATATTTTGGCATGAAATAATAAATAGTCATTATTATCTATACATAGGGCGAATCTATAGTTATTAGAATTTTTGTCTGTCTGTCTGCCTGTCCGTCTGGGAACGTATTAATAGAAAACTACTAGGCAGATTTTGATAAAATTTGGTATGATGATAGCTGGTTATCCGGGCTAACATACTAGGGTTAATAGAATACTTTTTACTGCCGGAAAATATCTCATCTCTAAAAAATCTATACTAACCATTAAAACGCACCGAGGGACAGAGCCGAGCAGAGCGAGGGTGAATCGCTAGTATCATATATAATTCATTATTATGATGACCTTTAATGTATCATGAGAATAGAATACTCTTTATTAAAATCAATAATAATATAATAAGATATTTACACATCAAGCTGATATTTTCTAATCTGTCTCATCTCCATCGATCACGTAAACCTATTTAGTAACCTGAATATATTTAATTATTTCTACAATAATAATAAACAAATAATATGTATACTGTGGTAATCAATCATTATCACAGTATAGGTACATAATATTAGTTGCTATAGTAAATAGTCAACTTGGCTCTGGAAGCAGGACTTAATACTAAAAAAGATTACCTTCGTAATATTTTATTTCGTGTTTTATATTTCCAATATCGGTGGCGAGGATTTTCTCTGAAAATGCACATACATCATCTATCTGCACAAAGGAAGCTGCCGGATACCAGCCTTGTTTACTATGACAACTTATTATACCCGCCCAGTGAGAATGTTCGTTTGTCTGCAAAAGAAATTAATTAATAACATTATACTCTCAATATTCCGCATTGTTCCAGCTCAAGCCAAAACCAGGTTTTAGCTGACTGAATTGTTTGTCTCAAATGGAACTCAAATACTCATAAACGATGTAAATAGCATTTTTAAGATAATTTTATAGCGATAAGTATATTTCATTTTCAGTCTACTGTAGTAATTGCTACAGGGTTAAAGCTATACATCCTACTAACATTATAAATAAATATATATATACAATAATACATATAATAAAATTGTAACTAAGCATATATACGAATCTGTACATTAGATATTTTTTGGAAAATCTTATTGAAATAAATATTATTATCGATACTGAGGCCGAATCTATAATTTTTAGAATTTTAGTCTGTCTGTCTGTCTGTCTGTCTGTTACCGCATTACGAGAAAACTACTGGACAGATTTTGATGAAATTTGGTATGGTGATAGCTGGTTATCTGGGTCAACATATAGGATCCTTTTTACCGCGGGAAAATATTATCTCATTTTTGAGAAAAAATACAAAAACTGCAATGTAAGAGTATACTAATAATATGTAAAACCTAAGAATTTGGTTTTTGGTCATCTGCACGCGGGCGGAGCCGCGGGCAATGCTAGTTATAAGGTTTGTGATAATTTGAGGTTTCATCAATTTACTCTTGCTTCAAATCAATTTAAATAATTTTTGTAATTAAATTATGTTTTAAAAGAAAGAAAGTGCACCCTTAGTAACTTAAATTTTTTATTCCTCATAAGATTAGACCTTTTTGTTGGAATCTCAAAGTTGATTTACAGTGGATAGTTTAAAGTCAGCCAAAAAGTCCTTAAGTGAAATAAATCGGTTTAATTTTCTTTTAGTATATTATGTAGATCTTGTAGAATACAAATGTATCAAGTAACTGAACGATACACATTACACAGCGCTTAGTTAGGGTTAAATTGAAGCAAGGCCGCGTTTTATTTCATATTACAACCGCTATATTACTAAATAAATAAAATGTATAAATAAATAAATAAACATCTAGTTCCATGGTAAGCTCGAGACTTATACATTATATTATAAATATAAACACCCATGACTGGATCACAAATATTAGTGCTCATTACACAAATGAATTCCCCCAGCGGGTCTCGAACCCGCGACTGCTGACACAGTAAGTAGGATCACTACAAACTGAGCCAAATGTATCGTCATATACCAATTTGAGACCCCAACAATTTTAAAATAAGAAAATAATAATAACTTACATGACAAGTACTAGAATTTTCATGACGAATAAAACATCGATGATGTAAATCACAGTCATCAGTTTCTTTTAAGAACACACTAAAAGTTTTATTGTGTTTATCTTGTCCTACGGCTACACATTTCTTATTTTTGTTATCCTCAAAATGCCTAAAATAATCATCTATATATAGTAATATATCACTATCCAAACACCGAAAATCATGTGTTTATATTACCGTTATGGTAATTATAATAAAGTCTGTAAACGTACATAATTTCCTCACAGGAGATGCTTCAACTAATTCGATATTTAGATACCGGATAAGTTAATATAAAGCTCAAAATTCTTGGACTCAACGAATATATATATATATTACTATAAATATAATATATTTGGAAAAATTGAAACTGAAAAAAATTGACTTATTCGCTATCACTAACAAAGTGATTTAAATACATCATATAATGGTCATACGTATATTACTCGTAGATTAAATCTTTTCAGATTCTAGCAATGTATAATAATCAATCAACTAGTTTTAACTTACGATGACATAACAACCATAGGTTTAACCATTGCTGAATATACTGCCGGTTTTTTCAAATGCAATAGCATTACTTTACTTCGATATAAGTCTTTCTTAGCGTCGACTTGACATGCCTGCTCATAGGGGCCCACCGTCGAATCAAGAGTTTTATGAGAGCCAAGAAGCACAGAAATAAAATTATCAACTAATCTGAAATAAAACATGACAGATTATAATTATTTTATAAATAGTTTTTAAGTCTAAAAAATATAATATTAGTTAGGTACGTATGTATTTAATCTGTCGTGGATTTTTAAATAATTTTGATACCTTTCTAAGATTCATAGAAATGTAGACCCCGGCTGATGCGTCACATTAAGCAAATGAAATCTTTTGGGGACTCCATGTTCGGAACCTTTTTCTTCATGCAAGCTTTCTATAGGAGCAGATTCATTTGATCCCATGAATTTAGATATACAAAATAATAATACTTACGTAACACCTTGCAAACACATATGACTGATTAAAACCCATGATAGATCAATCAAAACTCCAGTACATTTATATTTCCCATCCATATACAACTTAGCGATCCAAGGCCAATGATTGGAAACGTCTTTCACTTCTTTACTACTGCGCAAGTGATTTATATTGAAATCAGTAAACAAAGAGTGATCACAATATATATAAAGTGCCATACAAGTTTTAGTTATATTAGGTACACATTCTTCTTTAATTATTTTAGGATTTTTGATAGTTTGTAGTTCATTATTGTTATTAGATTTGAATGCAAAATATACGGGGACTTTTAAATCAATATCTCGTTTGCCTCTATTATCTTCAATAATATTAAGGTTTTCTTTCACATTTATGTGTTTTATCAAGTAGCGGTTCGCGGAACTGTAAAAATAAATTTTATATTATATATAATGTTCATTTGTATTGATAAAAATAATATAAGATAATATTTTTTTTGCTTTTCATAGAAAGGCTGTAAAAAGCAACGATGGACGATGATGATGATAGGATGGAAGAAAGGAGGTATGCAAATTAAATAGTTTCCAATAAATGGTGAAACAGCCATTAAACGTATAATATATTTTTTAAGGGTAGCACATGACATGTTATATTATTAGTTTAATATACCTGAATCCTAAATAGCGGCATATGTGAGATGCACTTTCCTCTTGTTGATGTATAGACATATCTTCTTCGCATACGATATGCCAGTTTTTATCATGTCTTTCAGTCAAATAACCTTCTAATGTAACCTCTGGTCTACCATTAAAATCATATACTATATGATTTCCATTAGATAACGTGACTTCAAAATAAAAATAAAATGTTGTGATAATTTCAATTTATATTTTTACATAGACATGCTATTTTTAATATAGCTAAAATAGATGTCAATCTATCTGATGGCAAGTCGTTATCAGGGAAGATAAAGAGAGTTTCCTGTGCGGTCCTTCAACTTATTTAACTTACGTGTGAGCTAGCAATGTATGCGAGGATATGCAAAATCTCAAGGGTATGTGGAACATATACAACCCGACAGCAAAGAGTGCGATAGTATGAACACGATGGTTACTAGATAATTATTAATTTATTGTTCAACTATGAGATGAAATAATACTTACAACAATCTAATTCATCTTCCCCTAAAGGACACTGTGGTTTTCCATCACAGACATATTTCGAAGCTAAGCATACTTCACTACCCTTACAGAGAAAGTGGTCTTCTTCGCAGCTATCTAAAATTTTGCAATTGGTAAGGAGGTTAACAGAATACTAATTTTGAAGATTCAATTAACTCACAAAATTTGTTAAAAGAAGTTTAATTAACTCTACTTTTCATACTTACAACAATCAGTTTCATCCTGTCCATCTGCACAATCAAAGTTGCCATCGCATATTAGTTTGTTATCAAAAGTTGTTAAATAATCTAAGCAATTACAACCTAATTCATCAGTTCCATCTTCACAATCCGCTTTACGATCACAACGGGCCATAAATGGGACGATTTGGAAAATTCTGTATGAAAAAAATATATCTCTTCTATATAGTTTTTTTTTTCTTTTCAGCGTAGTATTCTACATACAATTTCAGTTAGTTTATAAACATAAAATATATTAGATACAGTTAGGCGATTTAATAATTGATAGCATATACCTAATAATCTGGTATCATAAGCAGACAAATCAAAACATTGTTCTTTAATAATTTTATTTTATAGGTAATAAACAAAAGTAAAAATAGTACATACCGTCTACATTGAAAATCCGAAAACGTGAGATGTTTCTTCCTTTTTTTTGCGGGTTCCAATTCAGAAGGCATTATTATATTTTCTATTCTGTTCAGACTATCGTTAGTATCTAATAATTTCTGAAAATTATTAACTTTACGATCTATCTGAGTTTCAGATATAATTTGATCTTCAAGTATAGTCGTATTCGCAGGCTCAAATTTGATTATTTCCTGATTGACGTTATCTTTGTCATTTATATCATTATTTACAGTATCATCAATAATAAAAATATTTGAATTTAATTCTTTTATTGCTGAAGGACTATGTTTTTGATCAATATTATTTTCAGGGGCTTTAGTTATAGGTTCATCTTCCTGATTAGTAGTAGTTGATGGCAACGACGTGGATGATAATGTCTTGGTAGTTGCTATGTCTTCATTTTCTTTAATTATGGTATTTGATTCCTTACTATTAGGGTCTCTTTTCAATATAGAAGAGTCAGATTCTGGTTGAGGTTTTGGTTTTTCGGTCTTTACAAAAGACTCAAATTCATCAGCTAAAGGATCTACAGTAATGCTGCCATCAAAATCTTCTGCATTCATATTTTCTTGTGAGCTTGTTTTGGATATTTCAATTGTAGACGCATGTTTAATGTCGTCTCCGAGCATATCAAGATCTATTATAGGTTTCACTTTATTTAAATCTCTTTCTTTAAACCCCATATCATGTAAATTTATTATATTTTCTAGTTCTCCATCAATATTAAGTAATTCGCTTTTTGAAGTAGTTATTATGGAAGCAATAGTAGTAGTAGCAGTAGTAGTATTTATAGTATTGTTTAAAGCAAAGTCATTATTTGTATGAAATTCAGTAGTCACTTCGAGAGGTTGTTTATCAGCATTGTTAACAGTAATATTAATGGTAGATGAGGTACTACTCTCCTGTATATTATCTTTTCTATTATTTACAGTCAACGTATCTTCATTTGATTTTGAATTACTTGATAATATACCATTATTTACTGCATTTTTATTATAATCAGGTGAAGTATTATTTTCTGGTACCTTGAAACTGTTATTCTCATTTATAATTGAATTTTTGATATCCTTGATACTATCATCCAATACTATACTTTTCAAGTTACTCGTCCCTTCGATGTTTTTATTAAGTTTTGAGTCAGTACTTAATGGAGGGATAATTGTAATTGGTATACTATTAATATTTTCATCAGATTTTGAATCATTTTTAAATATTTCATGATTGTTGTTTATATCTTTAATATTTTCATCGGATTTTTCTAAAGATATATTATTTTTATTTGGCATTAAGTTGATATCATCGCTAGATTTTGATTTTCTATCTGCTGATATATTTGATTCTTGGATAAATGGATTCTGTATCGAATTTATCACACTTTCTTCAGGAAATTTGTCAGTGTCGCAGTTGAATTCATCTTCTCCGTCAAGACAATCTATTATTTTATCACACATTCGTTTTTTAGGTAAACATTTAGAAATTCCGGAATCACATCTGAAGCCTGGACATTCTTGTTTTGGCTGAATTAATGGTAATGTTTTTGTGGCTGTTAAAAATATTTTAAAATAATTTAAAGAAATGCTAAATAGTTGAATGAACGATTTTAATACGAACAATCATGATTGTGTGAAATTGTAATTGAAGTCCATATTTACTTATAAATACTTACATATATGATATCTTATCCACTGAACAAAAAGGCTAATACGTGTATATACACCAGGTTCACCTTTTCTAGCACATCCATCACCATGACTCACAATTCCAGCAACGTACCATTGTTGCGCATTAGCAGGATTTCTACATAATAATGGTCCTCCACTATCACCCTAAAAATAAAGGTTATAAGATATTAGTTTAGTTATGAATAATAAAAGTCGTTTTATCTATAAATTAGTAATTATTTTTGGATTTTGATTTTTATGTGAAAAATATGTTCGAGCTTATTTCTCAGCTATCAAAAATCTTACTTGACACGCATCTTTTCCGCCTTCGACTAATCCAGCACATATTTCTTTACCCGCTTGATCTTCTTCGTGCTTACAACTTTCCCAAACAGGGACTTCTACTTCACGCATGTGATCGGCTGTGAATATTAATTTAAAAAATATAGACTAATAAAAGCTATTATTCTCAATTTGCTGCCTTGTTTATTAGACGTTTCCTTTTAACATAACATTTTAATAAATATGATTAAAAAACAAAATAATCCTAAATATAACCTAGTAGATATCACATTGGTGTAATAATTATCTATCAAAACATCAAACAAATCTATGCATTGAATATTTTTTTGAAAATATATTTGTAATAATTTTATTAATAATTCTGCTCACAATTACAAAATAGAATAATATCATAAAAATATAACTCGTTAGACGTAAATTGTAAAAAACTTACGATCAGGTCCTTTTTCGACGGTAGCTCCCCAACCAACAGCAGTACATATGGTACCAGGTTTTGGGCCCCACATCCAGTCGCTACCCGCTACTTCAGGACTTGGTAAGCAAATTGGACGAACCCATCGACTAAATTGTATTGCTGGCTTTACTCGCAATAAAGATAAGTCATTTCTCATATCCTCTTGATCATAATTTTGATTCACAATAACATGGCTCACTCTGTGATTTTGTTCTTGTGGGGAGAATGAGAAGCGTCGAAGCATTCCAACTTGAACTTCATAGTAGTGTTGCCAAAATCTACAGATTATTATTGTATGATTATTTAATATAATTTTTTATTGAATATAATTCGCTCTGAAATATAAACAAAGGTGGAAAGCCAAATTTATTCATTAAATCTACCTACGAACAATTCTCAAAGGATTTTAATATACGTTCAAATGTGATCCACAGTCAAATGAATAATTAATTATACTTACTTGTGAACACAATGAGCGGCCGACATGATCCAGTTTTGATTTATAATCACTCCCCCGCAATGAAACATGCCGTCTCTATACAATGCCACCATCCAGGGCCACGCGGCTGGTTGGCTCGGTCTGCCACCTACGACCCTACTTTCCGCTCGTTTTTTTCTTATATCATCTGTTTTAAAAGAAAAATGTTTGATATTTGCTATTTTAATCATCACAGCACTTATTTATTTTATGAGAAAATAATTTAATTAAGAGATAAGTACAATCAAACATGGTAACAAAATGAAAGTTATAAGTGGTAAGAACAAAGTTATTGCATATGGCAACAGAAAAAAAATATCACGAGAATTTTTATTGGTAACTCACCCTAGTATATGATGTAAGATTATTAATATACATACAAACTATACACCTAAATTATGTATCAAATTATTACACCAGTATGTCGTGTGACACTATGTAAGACAAGAAATACCTTACCTAAATAGTTTAACAATATTTTAGATCTGAGGTCCTTATTTGTTACGTATCTTTTCGTACGATCATAAAAAGTCACAGGATATGGCCTTTGAAGAAATCTTTTGTTCCGACCAAACAGATGGTTTTCTATTGCAGCATTCTGTAATTAATGTATCGTAAGTATCCATTGTAAAGATGACAGTATTAAATCGACATGAAAAGTTAGTAAACTCCTACATAACTGCAAAACATATGCAAAGATTTTTACTCCAATAAAAAAGTGTCCACTGTTAGAAATTATATTAACTTTAAATGAAGTCGAATAAAATCTGGTCGTTGAGTTACTTTATTGGCATGTGCTACATGAACGGTTTGAGATAACACTATAAAATATATGACAAAAATATAAATAGGGATGCACCCAAGCTAAGCAAGGGTAAGTCGCCAATATAAATTAAACTTCAAACAAAACTTCATATAATATAACATGTATGCTCGTATATAACTGTTACCTCTTTTAATAGCTGTGCAGCGGTAAGAACTCTCGTGCCGCACAATAGGTCGGGACAGGTTACGTACACAGCAGAAGAGTTCAAACACGTGTTACTTGTGTGTATAAGACCACCTGGCGCCGTACTTATATAGTTCACTTTAATTAAGGGATCTATTTGCAATACTTGTATAAATGGCGGCCTGAAATATATCAAAATTATTTAAGCCTTTGTCAACGTAAGGACACAATGGTAATATTTCGCCTTATAATACATAGTTTACATAAGAGTATGTAAGATATGTACGACGATGGGATCGTGCTTCTTTTTTTAATACTACTACATAAAAAACATGTATCATTTCTTCATATATATTCATAAAAGAAGTTTTAAATTTTCAAATATAACATTACCTTATTATAAGACCAGTTTCACGACGGCAAGCATCATGTGCCCACATGTAAGGATTACTACACACAGCGTACCAATTTCCTTTAAAATTTCTATATAAGTAACCTTCTGTGTTGGATATTGAAAAAAGCTGCAAATTATAAATATATTTCTGTACAATTATTAATGTTTATCACAAATTAGTTTAATACATTAGTAAAAAATAAGATAGTTTTTTAACTTTTTGTTAGCGTAATTTTAATTTTGTTGTAACTTGTTAATATTTTCTACAATATATTTATACATTTTATTATAAATAGATTTTACAAATAGAAAATACACTACTTACAGGTTTCTTATGTAAGCTTGGCGCTAACATACTGCAGTCGATTTCATCTTTATGATTTGGACAATCAGGGACGTTATTGCAACGCTGTTCTTTAGAATAGCACGTACTTTGTGAGTTCATGTTAATATCCTCACAACTAAATGAACCTTCACTACAACCTACAATATTAAAAGTATGTTTAATTATATCAAATAATTTAATTTCTTAAGCATTACATTATGAATTAATAACAATTTGATAAAAATAATATCCTATATTATGGCCACTCGAAAATGTGTCTAGATATAGTTCTCAATATTCGTGCATTTTAATTGGGTATGTTGAACCCTAATATATCTTTTAAAAGGCCTCGTTAATTTAGTGGCTAGTCAAGATCAAATCAAAAAAGGTATGGATTTTTTTGTCAAAACTTTCTCAATAATACCCTACAATTAAAAAATTGTATAGTACGGTAAAGTCCTAATCCATTCCTATTTTTAATTTTACATTAGTTTAATAGTATATTACTTTCATAAACTTAGCCCAATACGAAGGTATAACATCTTTTCCAACTTATGTATTTATTGCGTTTTATTTTAATTTTTACGAATTGTTAATCTAACTTTATCTTTAGTCTAAATTAAATAATAAAATTAAAAAATTAAATCTCTTTCTCACTCTCTTATAAGTAAGGGAATGAGAAGGTCAAATCCATAACTCACCATAACATCCCATTTCGTCTTCACCAAAAGGACAATCGAAGTATCCATCACAAATCCTAGATTCATCAACACGAGATTTACAACTGCACCTGGATTCATCGCTTACGTCATCACAATCCACATTACCGTCACACCAATCTTTCTCGCTAACACACTTGTTACCATTGTCACACGATATGCTTCCTATTGGACACTCAATTTCATTAATTGATGAATTGGTGAACGCTTCTTTAGAACTTGCTTCAACTCTATTAAAAAAATGTTTGACATTTGATTTCATTTAAGCAGTCCTTATTTTATTGATTAAATAAAAAATACTGTCTATATAAATTATTAACGATATACAATATATTATGTAAATTCGGAGATAATTTTAAATTAAAACGAATACACCTTACTATGAGTACTTACTTTGGTACAATGAAATTCATAGCTATTTCTATGTCTTGCGGATGTAGTTTATGCTTATGTGCTTCTACTTCTCGTGTTTGGAGGTAAGAAGTTGGAAAACCAGAAGAAAATTGGCTGAAATGAACAATTGTTTATTTACATTTGTATATTTTTTACACCACCTACTATGTTGATCGCTCCTGATGTTTTAAAATTACTAACCTAGAATATGATGGTATATTAGGATATTCTTGATAGGGAGTGTCGTATACACCTGAAATATATTTTTTTATATTTAATAAATAATAGAATATAGTAAAATATTATAGTCTGCTCATAAAATAGAAAAATTAGCAACCCACCTTGAAAGTTAGGGTAGCTCTGTCTCATTAGACGTGCCAGTAAGCAAGTATCTGTTAATCGTGGATTAGTAATATCATGTGGGTATGCAATTGATTGATGGGGTATATTAGATTGCTCGGAAATACCATAGTTGATATCATGGTCATTGCTCAGTGGAACCACACTCTTTGTTGGTCTTACTAAATTGTGGATATGAATATCACGTTTTGATACGTCGGTTGGATTAATTCCTGGCATATGTTTATTATTATTTACAACGTCTTGAATAACATTTTTGTGATCTCTAATACCTTCATTATTTTCATGATGATTGGAGAAGTTATTCTTTGTAAGTGATTCGATTTTCATAACGAGTTCACGGCATATATCTTTATGATTTTCTTCATTACATAACACTTCGTGTTCAGCTAATAGTTTTTTTACTTTTTGTATTTGGTTATCTTTAAACTTTATATGATTCGTCTTTGGTGTGTTAAAATGTTTACTTAAAGAAATTGATTCTCTTTTCTTTCTTTTATTTAAATGTAAATCTGATATATTTTTTATTTGCAAGAATACTTCTGTATTGTCTTTTAATATTGTCATATTCTCTGCTTCATGCAATCCTGATATCACAATAATATCTGTATTGCGTTGTGCAGCTGGAAAATTATTATAAATAAATAGAATTTAACATTATGATAAATACAACTATATATAAATAAAAATGGTATACGTACCATCAGTTTCCAGTAGTCTTAAAATCAAAAGGTAGAATACAGCAATAGACATCGTTAAAAATAAGACTGCTAGTATTTTTTGAAATATGGGATAGCATTTTTGACCATTTCGCTCTAAAAAAATAAAAAAAACTTATTTACTTCTAATTTTATGTTATAGAAATATGCTGATGTAAAACCTAATATCAGAACCACACGCTTGCCAAGCTTTGATAAGCTATGGACGTTCCAATCGGTGCACAAATTCAAGGAAATTTGAAATTTTTATACGTAATGTGCGTTTGTAGAGATTTGAAGCTTGATTTGTTTGATTGATTGATGGCAAGCATATGGACCCGGAATATGGCCCAGAATGAAATTTACTCAATATGAAAAACTCTCTTTTCATCGAAGCAACGACGTGTTGTTAAAATATTTATACCCTAATGGCCTAATTGATAGTCCAAATACAAATTGCGCTCGTATCATCATACTTTACAAAAATATATTGACGAAAATTTGATTTATGTAAATATAACAATAACGTTACATTTTACTAAAAGTATAAAAACTTAATAATATATATTAGCGTAATTTAAAGTGCATTTGAATATTTAAAATTGAAATTACCATTAGCATTCGTCTCGGCTAATCCCATAGGGAGGAGACCGACGGTTTTCTTTTCTTCTATATTTTGATCCATCGTCTAATAAAATGGAAAATGAAATGAAGTTAGCAAAACCATAGTCAATATTGATATAATCCTATTAAATGCGAGTCATTTTAGTATAATATTAAGAATATTATATATTTATGTAGATATTTTTAAAAGTTAAGTGCTAAGTTTTAAAGCTTTTAAGATAAGATTTATTCCCTAGAGAATTTACTCCATTCTCAGCGTTCTGAGTAGCATTTCATCATTCAATAACTATACCGAGGTAAATAGGTGCATGTATAATAATAAATAAAATAATCAATGCTTAATATAAAAAATTGTGACGTTTTTTAACTTATTATTACTAAGAGTTTCTTTACAGAAAAAAACTTGAATCCAGAACTTTTATGTTACATGCTTTCTATCTAATCTAAAGAGGTTGGTACGCATAACGCAATATATGATACTAGCATTGCCCGCGGCTCAGATGACCAAAAACCAAATTCTTAGGTTTTACATATTAGTATACTCTTACAATGCAGTTTTTGTATTTTTTCTCAGAAATGAGATATTTTCCCGCGGTAAAGAGTATCCTATATGTTGACCCGGATAACCAGCTATCATCATACTAAATTTCATCAAAATCTGTCCAGTAGTTTTCTCGTGATGCGGTAACAGACAGACAGACAGACAAAAATTAAAAAAACTATAGATTCGGACTCTGTATCGATCATAATGTCTATTGCAATAAGATTTTCCAAAAAATATTTTATGTACAGATTCGGCTTAGTTACAATTTTATTACATGTATAGATGAGTATGATTGAGAGTCGCTGAGGAAGCGAAGTTATGAGATATTCGTAATTGAACATTATTGCGTATTTGGAGAGACTCGTACTAATAGAATAGTTATGATGTTTATTAGAAAAATATTGTTTTGTCAATGATTGCTTTCTTAATGATCGATAAATATATGAAATTATTATTCATCTTAAACAGACAATTACAAGTTATTTTATCTACGATGTTTAAAATTTGAATCGTTATCTACGTCATAAAGGAACGAGAGAGAGAACTTCTTATATGTACATTTAATTTTTAACTGTATTTTATCAATTTTGCTTGTATTGATTAAAAATAATTTTCAATAAAATTTTAAAAACTGTTTATTATTGATATTGCGAACAACAACATGCTGCTAATTTTTATTAAATATTTACATAATAATATAAAAACTGGATACCTTATCATCGTAGGTAAAAATAATATTGTAAGCTGAGCTATTAAATTATTCGTAGAGCTCTTTACGATCACTAAAAAATGACAAGAAAATTGAAGATCTTTATCTTCATCAATAAAAGATGTTAATAATTCAAAAACTAAGGACCCATATTTTATGAATATTTCTGATTTAAATTTAAGCCTTTATAAAAAACTAGGTTGATTCCCCATACATATTTTTCAACCTCATTTTCACCCTCTTAAGGGATGATTTCCGGAATAAAAAGTCTTCTATATCCTTCCCAGGGTCTCAAACTATCTTCTTACCAAATTTCATCTAAATCGGTTCAGTAGATCTAGAGATTACCCTCTACAACGTCACAAACTCACAAACTTTATCTCTTTATAATATTAGTATAGATTAGTATAGATATTGTGTTTCACAAATGTTGCCTAGAGACGTGCCGACATACTAATTAGGTGCAAATCTATTCATGTACAATATAGTCGATTATAGTTTATTGTCGTGACTATATGACGGAAACAACTTGATGTACTGAGGGAAAAGAAGCCTACTGACATTCTGCCGTAAATTGTGTCTATAAAAATATATATTTTTATCTTTTGAAAAACTTGTGTACGTTTTTAATATAAATAAATGGTTTTCGGTTAGGAGACAGTGGTGGCTCAGTGGTGAGACTCTTGCTAGGAAAATCAAGTGTAGCGGGCTCAAATTACGGGGCGTTGCACCTATGACATTGTCATGTACGACTCACTTTCAACATGATTACCATTTGCCTTACGTTCAAGGAAATCATCGATAGGAAATCTTCATGTCTAAGAGAATCTAGCAAGTTTACGAAAGACATGTAAAGTCTGCCGTTTCCCTCTCGTATTAAGTGGAGGCCCGTGCCAAGCATAAAGAAGTTAAAAAGCGCGGAATACAATGGTTTTTAAATATAAACACAACCAGGTAGTCCCGCCCAGGTGTTTCTACAAACGCTTTTGCTTATAAAAAACTTATAACACTACAAGATATAGAAGCACTATATTACGTAATCACTAGTCAGTATATGCAATTATCATATATTTTTCCGCTTTCTATAGTCAATTAGACTAAAAGTGCTGTATAGGCTACTGCTAACTGCGACTGATAATTGTAATCGCAATAACTTAAAAATCTAAATTATGATATTTACAAAAATAGATTAAGAAAAAGATTTTATCAAAAATGTTTTAAAATATTTTTTCAAAGTATCAAATTGAAATACATTAAAAAATTTGAAAATGTATGAAGTATGGTAACAATGTCCACCGATAAAGTGCCCAGGAGGAGAAAAGGCAATTGGAATTCATCCTATATTTAAATTCGATTAGCAAAAACCACAAGACTACACAAATATTTTAGTAATTAAAGTTGCTAATTTTTTACACATGATAAATTTAGCCTTTTGTTACTCTTACAAAATACAATATTTTGTTAAAATTGATATCTATATGCCATCTATAAAGTTGGGTTAGTTACACCATTTATAAGTCAAGAACGGGTGCACCGATTTTTATGATCTTTTAATTTTTGGTGGATTTGTCTCCACCCCAAATAGCAGAATAACTATTAAAACATCGGAAAATATCAAGAAAAAAAACACATTTACATGCTTAAACCTCTGGTTAATAAGTATTCATATCTATTTAAAACGTATTTAAGGACACACCCGAGAGAAGCGAGATTATAATTATTATAGACTTATACTTTGTTATACACTATTTATGCAAATATTCCATATATGTACATAGTACATTGTATACTTTTGGTGTCACTATTCAATAAAAATAAAATAGATCAGTTTTTATTTCCCTTGCTAGACAAAATGGCAAATTATAAACAATTTTTCATACTTACGTGTGCGTTTGTAATTTAAAACTTTACACAATCACAAAATATTATCCATATTTTTAATATAATTATAATGTATACTGACTCATATCGTGACACCAACGCAACTGTCGTATTATGCTGTTAAAAGATTCGGGTCGCGAATTTTGTTTATGAAGACTTTTACAAAGCTGCTGACCGTACCCTATTGTTTATTTTAGCACACGACAACAGTGCTTATTATGTGCTTTATAGTGTTATATATTTATTCATCTTGAACATTGAAGTAAATGATTATGTTCTAATTATAATTTTATTACACTAGCAGAGATTTGCAACTTTGCGTGCGTTAATTTTAGGAAAAAAAGAATGAAATGAAGAATGACCATGGTCATATTTTTATATGAAAAACATCGAACTTCATGGTGTTTTCTCATATTAAAAGGGATTTATAAACCATTAGTAATTCAATGTTTTATCGCCCTTCCGTAACTTTGGCTATGGGGGTTACTTAACTGATAATAGATATATTAAAAAAATTATTATCTATACTTAAATAGTAACGAAGCGAAATCTGTACATGAAATATTATTTAAAAACAATCACTGTTACGTACAAGCATGTACCTAATATAGATCCATAAATAATGGTACAAAAATAAGCTATATCTAATATAACGAGCTTAAAAGGTAGTATTAGAAGTATAAGTAACGACACGTTTGGCTCAGTTTCTAATGACTTTACTTGCTTTGCCAGCGGTCGTCGATTCGAATCCCGTTGGTTGTGAGCACTAATATTTGTACTCCAGTCATTCATATTTCTTTTAATCGACTTCAAAAAAGGTTATAGATTAAGATATGTAGTTTTTTGTACACATCATTATAACGCAGTATCGCAGTAATCATTATTTTTTAAGTAGTTTTAAAAAAAAAGTTGGGATATTAACACACAGCACCATCTAGTACCATGGTAAGCACAAAGCTTGGGTTATGGATACCAGCTGATGGTCGATACACTCCATATATATAACTTTAAATACATACATATTATAAATAAACACCTATGACTGGAGTACAAACATTGTGTACACAAATGAATGCCCCAAGCGGGACTCGAACTCGCGATCGCATCGGCACAGCAAATAGGGTCACTACACACTGAGCCAAACGTGTCGTCATTTTGAAGATAGTGTATGTATGTTTATTATAAAATCAGCGATTCATTCAAAATATGTTTCCATGAAGCGTTTTTCTTACAACACATACATTATAAAATATTGTTTTCATTTCATATAGAAGTTTACTTTAAAAAGGCGTGGATACATCACATCCATTAGGTAGTAGCTTCGGAAATGTATGGTTTAATTAATTGCTGATATTCTTAGACATTTTCTTCGCGTAGGTATCACGTTTACACTTTCCTGTTATACATTTATATCTTTTCGTAATTATAAATCCATTTCCGAAGTAGTATATAATAAATAAATATTATGTTGGGACGTTAACACACAGCACCATATACATAGTTCCATGGTATGCTACGAGGCTTGTGTTATGGATACCAGATAGTTGATACACTACACATATATAACTTTAAATACGTACATATTATAAATATAAACACCCATGACTGGAGTACAAGCATTCGTGCTCATCACACAAATAAATCCCCCCAGCGGGACTCGATGCCGCAACCGCTGGCTGGCACAACAAGTAGGGTCACTACAAACTGAGTCAAACGTGTCGTCAAAATATAATATCTTTATATTTATAAAGTAAGAAAATGACTGGCTGACTGATTCACTGACAGGGGTTATATTAGGAATGAAAGTTTGTATGAAAGTTCGTCATTTTTGACTTTAGGAATGTAAAAATTGATATATGAACACTTGGTAAGAAAAAAAAATTAACAGTAACACTTTATTTATGAAAATTCATTCTTTAAGGGGGTA